GCTTGATATTTTGAAGTTGTGATACTAGAAAGGTGGCTATTGTAGTCAAGGTATGAGATGTAGTTTGTAATAGCTTGACATTGTGAAGATGTAGTTTGTAATAGCTTGACATTGTGAAGATGAAGTTTGTAATAGCTTGACATTGTGAAGATGAAGTTTGTAATAGCTTGACATTGTGAAGTTGTGATACTATAAAGATGGCTATTGTAGTCAAGGTATAAGATGAAGTACGTCATAGCTTGACATTGTGTATATGTAACTGCGTTGTCATAGTATCATATCCTCTATTGATGACTCTCTGTTTATCTAAACAATCAGGATGATTATAAATTAAACAGATTAAATGATATTATTATTACCTGGTTCAATATACTTGATTAATGAAACACTAAGTATCCAGTTTAAGTTTACACTGGTAAATTTTCAGTACTGAACTTTGTAATAGCTTGACATTGTGAAGATGAAGTTTGTAATAGCTTGACATTGTGAAGATGAAATTTGTAATAGCTTGACATTGTGAAGATGAAGTTTGTAATAGCTTGACATTGTGAAGATGAAGTTTGTGATAGCTTGACATTGTGAAGATGAAGTTTGTAATAGCTTGACATTGTGAAGATGAAGTTTGTAATAGCTTGACATTGTGAAGATGAAGTTTGTAATAGCTTGACATTGTGAAGATGAAGTTTGTAATAGCTTGACATTGTGAAGATGAAGTTTGTGATAGCTTGACATTGTGAAGATGAAGTTTGTAATAGCTTGACATTGTGAAGATGAAGTTTGTAATAGCTTGACATTGTGAAGATGAAGTTTGTAATAGCTTGACATTGTGAAGATGAGGTTGGTAATAGTTTGACATTGTGAAGATGAAGTTTGTAATAGCTTGACAATGTGAAGATGTGATACTATAAAGGTGACTATTGTAGTCAAGGTATAAGATGAAGTTTATAATAGCTTGACATTGTGAAGTTGTGATACTATAAAGATGGCTATTGTAGTCAAGGTATAAGATGAAGTACGTCATAGCTTGACATTGTGTATATGTAACTGCGTTGTCATAGTATCATATCCTCTATTGATGACTCTCTGTTTATCTAAACAATCAGGATGATTATAAATTAAAACAGATTAAATGATATTATTATTACCTGGTTCAATATACTTGATTAATGAAACACTAAGTATCCAGTT